CTGCCGGAACAGCCAGGTCTTAGTAGACTTTCGGAAGGCCGAGAGAGTGGGGAGGGTCCGGATCTCGGGAGGTGGATCGTTCCATAGGGCCGGGGCAGCTACAGAGAAGGCCCTCCCCATAGGAGCCACCAGATGACATTGTCTAGTCGACGGCACCCGGAGAAGGCCCATCCTGTGTGATCTTATCGGACCCTGGGAGGTATGTGGCAGAAGACAGTCTCGTAGATATCCCGGTCCTAAGCCATGTAGGGGTTTAAAGGTGATAACCAGCACCTTGAAGTGCGTTCGGAGACTGATGGGGAGCCAGTGGAGCTCACGGAGGATGGGTGTAACATGGGTGTATCTCGGTACACCCAGTATCGCTCGCGCGGCTGCATTCTGGACCAATTGTAGTCTCCGAACACTCTTCAGGGGCAGCCCCATGTAGAGTTCACACGTACGTACTAGTCATTTGCGTTCCTCTTGTGGCATATATTCAACAACTCAAAAGTGCTTTTTTAAGAGGCAACTGGACTTTCTTTGAAGATGTTTCACTTGTCATCCAAGAGGACTCAATGGAAGGATGTGTACTCCTTGCAGAGAGCTGGCCATCTGCATTCTTTTGACAAGTCATCAAGGCCACCTGGAGGTTTATCTATCCTCAGGGTCACCTGAGTAGTGCAAATTACCCACCATCCAGTCAGAGCTGGAGAAATCTTGGATGAGAAGCGAATCGTTTTCAAAGAAAAACCAGAAAGTCCAGTTGCCTCTTTATCCCTTTGGGACAACCATGACCAGGATGACTGAGATAATCTCCATAGACATTCAACCACTGATTGAAAAGCACTGCTGTAAAATATATTTGGGAAACTGTAGCTCTCTTGTTCTTGCCGTATTCTGTTCTTCAGCGAAAGAGACGGGTAAATTATCTAGTTGGGAGGAAGTTCAGGATCTCCATACGATTCTTCTGTTCAGAGCCATCTGAGTTAGCCTGGACAGCAAGATTTGCAAGTATCAATTCAGCTTTAGTTTCCTCATCCCTGATCCAAGAGCTAAGAGTTGAAATTCCTTTTATCTTACTATATGCTAAGACTAGTAAAGCACTAATCAGCATTAAACCTTCATTCTGTTCTCGCTGGTGGGGAAGTGTTTGTTGCCCCTCAGAAATTTGTGGTAGGATTTGCAGGGGTGGGCTTCAAAATTTTTAGCAAGGTGTTCTCTTCCCCGGTTGCTGGGTGGATGTGGCCGTGGTGGGCATGGCCTAGTCAGCCCCCTGAACCACAGTGTGTGTGGGGGTCGTTTTTGCCCTCCCAGGGCTCTGGAGGCTTTCCTCTAGCCTCCAGGAGGGTGAAAAATGGCCTCCCCAGGTTTTGGAGGCCCTCTGGAGGCTGGAAACAGGCCCATTTCCAGCGTTCCCGAACTTCTAATAGGCCCATTTTTTGCCCTTCCCGAGCCTCCATGCATGCCTTGTGCTTACCTCCATCTATGGGCCACGTGGAGACTCCTTGGAGGGGCGGAGTGTGGAGGGCAGGGCCAGCCAGGAGTGGGATTTGGGGGTTCTTCAAATTGCACAGAATCTTAGCTAGAGGTTCTCCTGAACACCTGCGACACACCCCCCCCCAGCAGCCCATCCATGAGTGTCTGGAAAAAGATGCAGCTGCTTTAACAGGTCAAAATGAGATACTTCACACGTGTCCACGTGTCATGAACATCTCATGAAGAATTATTTCTTCATCTGATCCTTATAACTCAAAATTGTTGGCATTTAATTCATATTCTATATCGGTTTACTGCCCTTTTTATGTATGTCAGGGCTCTTTAAAATTCCAGATGCGACTGCTGGATACAGTTGTTATATGCAAAAATTGGTCCAACATACCACAGTGTTTCCATGTTCCACTTTTTGCTTTATAAAATTAAAGGTAAAGGTTCCCCTTGCACATATGTGCTAGTCGTTCTCGACTTTACCTTTATGAAATTGTGTTTTGTCAAAACAGGCAAGGATTTGGGTATGTGTTTTCCCACCTGGAATTCAAAGCGAAATGGCAACAGAATTAGCTAGTGCCCTTATGGCAGAGGATTGGAAAGAATTTATATTCTGCTTCTCAGCTGTCTTTTCAAACCTGTTTCCAGCAATTTCCCCCTCAGAAGCACTCAATCTTAAAATCCCTTTGTGTAGAGAGGAAGAAAAGAAGGCTCCCGTGTGCTCAGCCAAAACATCTGCTGGGCTTTTGCAAATCAACTATGGACATATCATCCAGCTGCTGCACAAGTTATAAAACAGCCAAATGGAGTTGCAGGCTAAGAAGCCTTCTGCTTTCTGCATGTAACCTTATCCAAATCTCAAAAAAAAAAAAATGACAATTATGACTCAGTGATTCAGGTAATGAGTTCTGGTTCATGGATTTATTCACAGTGAGTCCAATGCATCTTGGGTCCGTGCGTGCGTGCGTACGTGTGTAAGTTCTCTTATTTTCCAGCTGTTCTTTCCACATGTCTTATTAAGGCTTCCTGGAAGACGGCTACTGCAAAATCTGCATCTTCCTTAGTAATGCACATCGGAGGTTTAATTCTAAATGTCTTGGGGAAGGAAAAAAAAAAGAGGGAAAATATTATACAGAGAAGAAACTTATTTAGTAGTAGAGATGTTTTGGCAGTAGATATAGTCACAAAACAACATACTGTGCAGTTGCCGCTTAAGGGGCAGTGGATGGGGATGGACCAAGCTAAAACAATTCCAGCCTACCACAAGCTAAATGTATTGATCCATCTGTATGGTGCTGCTCTACAATATACTGTATTTTTCTGAGTATGAGATGCACCGGAATATAACAAGCACCAAGATTTTGAAGAGGTAAATTTTAAAAAAAGTTTTTGCACTCTGCAGACCTTCCAAACCCTTTGCACGCCTCATTTTTTGTGAAAAATGGGGAATGCAGAAAGTTTAAGAGGACTGCAAAGTGTTCCTGGGGGCCGGGAGGGCCAAAAGCGAGCAAACACTGGTCCGTTTTTCCCTCATTTTTGCCCTCCCCAACCCCTGGAAGCACTTTGCAGGCCTCCCAATCCCTCTGCACATCCATTTTTGTGAAGGGGACGTGGTTTCAGGAGGCCAAAAATGCTGTATTCAGTGTTTAATACAGTGTATCACCCTCTTTTTGGGGGGGAAAGGTGTATCTTATACCCTGAAAAATACTGTATTTTGCAAGCCATTTTTAAAAAAGGGGGTAGATATGGCCAGCCCCATCCCTTCTCATACAATCATTTTATAGTGCTGGGCAATCTGCCCACATTTACAGTGACATGTGGCTACAAGGCTGATTCACAATATTTTTTGCCAGAAATGGGCATTTTTGGTTTCTGGCAAAAAATACGACAACATTGTGACAATGGACCACTTAATAACCAGCATGACTTAACGACAGTAATCTGGGTTCAATTATGATCGTAAGTTGAGAACTCCCTGTGTTTTCAT